GACCAATAGAGCAGAGGAATTCAGGCAAGGTGCGTTTATTTAGATCGACCTGATAAGTATCGAAAAGTAGTTAAAACCACAAATAAACTGTATTGACGCATTTGAATTCATGATAGAACTAAAAATACTGATAATATGGCTGAAACCTTACGAAATAAAAGTTTTTCAAGATTATTCTTACCCAACCCAAAGTGTATTCGATTTTCTCGGCACACAACTAACGTCATCAAATAATGTTATACATCGATATCTAGCTGCTTTACACTATTTTCTATATGTACCTGCCCTTAAAGTAAAACTTAGAAAAATGTTTATTATATAAGATCTTATACACAAGAAGCCTGATTAATCGTATTGAAAGTAACACTAAATAAAGGTGTATATCATACTAGATGCAAGAGGCATCGATAGAACAATGGGCTGGCTTAGGATATAAAGGGAAAGTTCTGATGCTGTTAAGAGTAAATTCATCCTATTTTGATTTAAGGTGGATGAACGAGTGAATATAGATCAAAATAAATATCAAATTAACTACATATGACTTTCGAAATAATAATTCTATCAAAGAGACTGTTAAATCACCGCTGTCTCAAAACCTTGATTTCTTCGACTATGCTCTGGCATAGGCCTGCATGAGTATCTTTAAATAAAGAAAAGTTACACAGCAACAAGTTCGCCACTAACTTGATTAGATACCGAGTGAATACACCTAATTCCTTCATATAATCTTTGTCGTCATGGGCGATCACCTTGTCTTGTAGAAATACTGGAGCCCATGTCTCCACAGTTGCTGATGCCTCTTGCTGGCTTGTACCTTCTGAGCGTTCTGAAACATTTTCATCATGCGAAGGATTATCTTCTTCCCCTACGCTATTTCGGTCAATGTCACGATTTTCACTTTCAGAAAAAAGCTGTAAATCGATGCTCTCTGAACTCTGATTATTCCGCTCCAGGACAATACAGACTAAACGGTCCAAGCAGCTGCCGGTAAGCTCATTTATCTTGTTGCGCATCCAGTCGACATCTTGCTCCAATGTAAACGTCGTCAGCATAAGCCACTCTTGAACCTGTTTTATTATCTGAAGCAGATCCATAGGTGCCGTTTGTTTGGAGGAATCCACTCCTTGGCTTTTAATTAACAATAAAATATTGGCAGGATAAAGAAAATAAATAATTCACAAATACTTAAAAATATTTACAAAGATTTCATATATCAGTCCCATATCATATCCAGGCTTTATCATCGTTTTTACCAGTGCCCGAAAGCAAGGCAAGGAAGGTCATGCTATTATTAATACATTACCTCGAACGTTTTTTACTTTCTATGCATTAGTACTTTCTTACTTTCAAAAACTATAATATCCAACAATTAACATTCTTCAATGGGAGCCTGATTCTTAGCAAATTTCATAGCCTTCCAAAATATTTGATAATGATGGTGAAACAATCCCCGATGAATTGATAGATTGTATTTAGCATTGAATTTCATGGCGTCTTGCATTCCAAAAAAACATTTTCATCCCTTTTAGAAGTAGAGTTTGGGAGCCAAAACAGTATTGCAGAGGCCATACCCTAACCTCGTCCCTGCCAAGGATTGGTTTTGAGATATGCTTGTTAGAAAGACTTTATGCGAAGAAAGGTTGGGTTTCGATGAATCTCTTGTTTCATATTTGTTAAGCTTACTTTCATTTTAAGTGAAAGTGTTGGGTGAAGAGATTGGATCGTTAGCTTGAATTTTGTTGTGACGATGATACCTTGCTCTGATGATGTTCGCCATATGACGGACGAAAGCTTAGCACATTTTCACAAAAATCGAAGGAGATTGCCTCTAAAACGGCGTCAGAATAAATTTTCCAGTAAAGCCAATCGACAGCTGGTCTAGAGGAAACCGCCGTCGTCTTTTGGTGGAACCGGCCTTCGAAGCTCTTCACCCAACACTTTCACTCGAAATGGAAGTAAGCTTAACAATCTGAGATATGCTTGCCTTGCTTCGAAAATTTTGTATCCCATGTAAGATAAAGGTCGTATTCCAATGGCCCTGGAAGCTAAGACCAAAATATTCTGGCTTCACAGACTAGCCTTAGACTTTGAAGTAATAGTCCCACCTTATAACTCATTTTGGTTTTTTGGAGTACTCTATTCGAAAGGATATTTGAGTTCACCTTCATCTAAAGTGGAAGTTGGAGATGAAGAGACTTGAGGGAGGTCACACCAGAAGACGACGGCGGATTCCTCTTGACCAGCTGTCGATTGGCTTTACTGAAACAAAACATGCAAAGCTTTTGTCTGCCATATGATGGATATCATGAGAGAAGTGTATCACTCTTACCCAAAGGCTCGAATCACCCTAGTCGACGAGGGACTGATAATTAAATTTGCTCAAAATGCTTCATGTTCCATTGAATTTCACTTGGATTTGATTTCTCATCCGGAATGGTCTGGATTGAAGTTTCGACATAGACTAGGTCTCATCCACATCCTCAGCGGGGCTCGAACCCGGGTAATGCAGATCAGTCTCGACACGGTTCCACCCGGATACACTGTCACGAGCGCCTCTAAGTCCCAGGGAAGACGTGAATTTCAAGAAAGCCCAGACCTTTCCCATATATTAAGTTATTGCTAGATAGTAGATAAAGCAAGCTTGTATTTTGATTGTAGATGTGAAGACCAATATGGCGTGGCTTTCTATTTGGTCGATGTCACTTTCAGCTTCATAGTGCTAGTTTGGCCTCGTTTTCGCAAATTAGTCGGAGCATCAGGTAGACCTTGTGGAACCTAGCTAGTCATGTGTCCTCTGTCATGGTATTCGTGATATCCTGCATTGGACTATATGACTTGGTACATTCCAAGACGTTTGGCCGGCATCGAGAGTGTAGGCGCCAGTGAGATGTGAGGGCAATCTCCTTGCACAATTTTCTATTCAACCGTTCTGGCCTCACTCATCACCTCTATTTTTGTCCCACTCTCTTTTTGCATATATTTCTCTCATACCCACTTCATATGACCTATTTACCTACTGACACAATCATGTGATCACGTTTTCTCCAATGTCTCCTAAGGGTGTGTCGCTACATGTAGATTCAGTGAGGCATAATCATCCTCACCCCCAGTTCTAGGTGCCGTTTGCAGGGCTTCCTACCTTTGTACATCAGACAAATATATAGAGGGAAATTAACACTTTTTTCATTAGTTACTTCGGACAGAAAATTTTCGGATCCTCTTTCTAGATCAGGCTGCTATAAGGTCTTATGCTCATATGGTAAGTCCTTTGTGGAGGAGACTTGCCGACTCATCCAGAAAAGACTATGCGAACACAAAAACGCTTGTAAAAGTCTATGGAT